TTGAAGGGGTCGGTGCTGAAGGTAGCGGATAACATTCTTGTCCATAATGCAGAATAAGGATGAGCAGAGCCGAGTCAGTGACCTAATAGAAAGATCAATTCTTAATGTATAAATGCTCACATTACCGGTTAGCCCTCTTCCGGTAATAGGCGAACACTCAGGTTCAAAAAAGTATGACAGAACTTTCCCGCCAACCTAATATTAGGTTGGAAGGAATGTGCTGCGACACTTTGACCGAATTTCCAGGTCAAGTTTTCCTCCACTAGAAGACACCCCCAATCTACAATGTAATCGCCATTAATGAAAAGGACTAGTGCTCACCTCTCGCACACCTTCTCATGTCCACTATTATAGAACTACGGCAACTATGATAAAAAGATGAGGTTTATCTTATTTTTGAGTGGACGTCGGTTTTCGGAATTTTTGCTTTCTAAAGGATGCGGTAGGGATCAAAGGATTTGGTGATCAGAGGCTGCAAACTCTGGTGAATAAGCTGGGTACAGTCGCATTGCCTGATTGAGATCCATGATCTTTTGACGTGGCGTGATCCTCACATGCGACCTTCGTATTGCCAAGTAGTAGAAAGAAAGTGAGTGTTTCTGAATGAATTTAAGCGCAACGACATCCATGTTTCACTGTTGATCAGTGTAGACCGTGGCCGACATTGCTGTGCAGTACCGAGCGACATCCCTTGAAGTGCCATCAATAACACAGCGAAATCTTAATTCAATGCACATATGCTTTTAACTAGGCAGTCTACTTTTCTGCTCGAGAGATCGTGCGAGGGATGTGTGCATAGTTTACGCAAGGACTCTAAGCACTCGCTAGCAACCGCAAGATCTCACAAAATTCTTCCGTTGTGTACAATGAAAAGAAAACTCAAAGAACGACTATCCGATGCGCTTCGTCAGACTGGTCCAACTCATGAGGCATACTCCACAAAAAATTTTCCCTAGCACCGAGATTGCGGAGGAGCATGGCAGCTGTCAGTTAGGTGGAGCCTAGAGATGTTGCCGCCTTACTGGTGGTTACGTTCGGCTGCGTTCAGAAGTTTGAGTAAACGTCCGTTATTCTGTGCTGGTGGCCGACCTATACATTGCCTACTCCGAATTAAATAACTTTAGCTCGGAATCGCTGATGACTCTACTCTCTGCCATAGCAAGCGATATCCTTCCTCAGGACAACGCAAATGTTAGCTTATTCGACTACGGCGCAAGGGCCCTACAGATACTCACAATATGGGATAGGTCGAAGAGTACCTTGGCTTTTGGGGAAATTTAGGCTTTGAAAGCTTTCACAAAGTCATGATGGACAGGTCTGCAAAAACCACAGAGGTCACTCTCCACTAAACAGCACTAATCAGGAGTGAAAACATTCGAATTGCTTTTTGGCTCTTTTTTCCTGTAGATCAATTTAATCAAAGTATTGCAGGACTTTCTTTTGAACCTAAGAGTAGGATATTACTACTATTGATGAGTGACTGATTATTGTAAATATAAATCTGATGGCTGCGAATCTGAGATGTGGGCGACTTTCTCCTATGCCATATTCTCCCATGTGGCGGAAAAGCGTGTCCCGATTAAATTCTGGCCCATTGTCGCTCTCGTCTCTTGCGTGTTGACATATGTGAACACACATTGCGGTTCACTGGTTCCTTCAGTACAAAAGAGGAATATTTGGATTTGATTTTCGTTCTCAAACCGAGCCATCAAAGGAATGGGTCGACATAGAAAAGAAGTCAGATTTTTTTTTATTTCCTTTCTCTTTACGTCCCGCGAAACTGTTGTGTAGTTACTACTGCTTGAACTGTGCATTGAAAATCTAAGCAGTATGATTGAGGTTCGTATATATTGCCAATCAATATTGCTTCTTTCTGATCATCCTCATTGAAGTTCGTCTAGGTAATGGAGAATCTTCCACCTCCAGAAGTTTTTCAAGCTACGAACCCAGAAATTGTTGGAGGTAACACATTGTCAATGCTAGTCTGCACACTTCTTATCCCTGAGAAAGAGTAGGCATGGCTTTTAAAGATGGGTTTAGACGGTTACTCACGGGTTTTCGATTCGAGGCAGCCGTCACCTTATTACATGCTGGACAAAAGCATGACCACACTTGTCTCGAAATGGAAACGCCTTACTTAAAGACACATGGTACGATCACTCTTAGTTTGGGTGTGCGTGACTATCAACCACCCAGTTGTCGAAGGGTAGCGGTTTCCCCGTCGTAACGTGCGCAGGAATGGAGATACAGGACCGCGAAACACGCTAATTCCTCCATGCTCCGCTCAAATCTTTTGTGGCACAGACTCCGTACATGCTAACAGCCGTTGTGTGCACGAGTGTCGCATGCGGCTCTCTTGGCACTTTGCCAAGTTCTGTAATTGCGCTTTGGAATGCAAGCAGAACGCAGTTTCCTGATGCGGATAGCATTTTAGGTGCTGCAAAATAAGAATCGAAGATGATGACGAGGGCCAGAACTTAGGAGCAACTGTGCTGCTTCTGCCACATCCCTCAAAGGCCGCGCATTCCCACAAAACATGAGAATAAAAACGGCCTAAGCGTCCTTAGTTTAATACAAGCAAAACGGAACCCCGTGATGCGAATAACATTTGAGGTGCTGCTCATGCTTTAAAGTCCGAATAGAAGGTGATGAAGGTGACAAAGGCTAGAAATGAAGAACAACGAATGTAGATGTAGATAAAAATGAAAAATCAAGGAAATGCATATTAATTAAAATCGCGTGTGAATTTCTGCGATCCGACGCGAATCCCGCTCCAAAGCCATAGAAATACTTTAAACTAACGAGTAGGACGCTTAGGCCGTTTTTATTGTCACCAGTCGGATCACCCGGCTGCCGCCGTGCTCCTCCTTCTTTGTCACGGCCGGCTTCGCCGGGCCGGCCTGGCTTCGCCAGGCACTCTTTCCTTAGGCGAGGTAGAGTGTGCAAAATACGCCTAACCGTCACAGTGCATTTTCCAGCAAAATGTATCCTTTCCTAAACCCTACACCGTATCTTGGAGCCAACCTCCTACTGTTGCTGTGACTCGCGTGATGGGCTCAGTGACCATCCTCTTCCAACATCGCGAATCTTATCAGCAGCTGACGGTTCTTGTCATCCACCAATAATGTTCCTGTCCCTTACCCTAATCATACGTTGGAATCAACACCTGGCTGATGCTGTGACCTGCATTGCGAATATGGTGGCCTCCCCCTTGTAACGCCTCTCATCGGATCTACGAATATGGTGAGAGTTCCACTCTGAGGCCTCTTGTCAGATATTATCAACTGACATCAACTTCACTTCCTAACCCACCAATAGTGTTCTCGTCACACCCTCTACGTCACTTCTTGGAACCATTATCTCGCTGCTACTGGGACCGCCGCTATGAATTCCACGTTGAAGAGACAGACGCACACGCACGGACATAGTCGATTATATATGGTAGAATTGTACCGTTGTCCCAATGTAACGCTGAAATCTATCCTTTTGCCCATTTTTTTCTCGGGGTTGGTACCAAAAATCTCCATAACCCTCGCACGAAGATTCAGTAACCTGCAAGAGCAGCCTCCGAAGCATCCTACCGCTCAATGCGTTCCCCACCACGGGGGGTTTTTTTCTAAAATGCACTCCCGCATTCGGCCGTCTTGCGCTCGAATGTTCCTCTTTCAGGTTGTTGATGAAAGATAGTCATAGTGATAAAGTTATTGCTGCAGTTCATGGCAATTGCGTAAACAACCGTCATGCATCTGAACTGCGGTTGCTTTAGCGTTGTACATGATATCGATAGCGGTAAGAGCGTAGGAGTGATTTGTGTAGGAACTACTGAGAGCCTGATACCTGTCATATCAATCGCATTGTGGCAGCAAGCGATGTTGCGGATTCCTGCATGATGACGCTTTCAACCCTTATCAGTTGCTGTCACTTAGTGTCACCCATCACTATCGCCCTCCTCCCCTATAACACTTCTTTGAACCAAGGTCCCACAGACGCTGCAACCTGCCCTACAAAGTGGTGACCCTCCACATCTAAGGCACCTTATCGAATCTTATCAGATGTTATCAGCTTCTGTCACACACCAACAATGTCCACTTCCCTTACCCTATACCACTCTTGAAATCAAGGTCCCACGGTCGCTGCAACTTGCGCTAAGAATTTGGTAACCCCCGCGTCTAGGGTGTCTAGGGTCCCTTATCGGATCTTATCAGACGTTATCAGCTCCTGTCAGCCACCGCCCTACCTTGTATATCACTTCTTGAAGACATGGTCCAGCAGCTACTGCAACTCGCGCTACGATTTCGGTAACCCTCCCCTTCTAAAACCCCTTACCGAATCTTATCAGGTGTTATCACCTCCTGTCACCCACCAAAAGTGTTCCCGTCCTGCCTTGTATATAACTTCTTGGAACTGTCATCCTATCTTTTCTGCGACGCTCGCTATGAATTTCCGGTCAACACACATACAGACAGACACACAAACATTCACACACACACCAACAGACAAACCTAGCGGATTATATTAGTAGGATGTTTTGTGGGGGTGCGCGGCCTCAGAAGGATGTTGCAAAAGCAACACATTGCTCTGGAATTCTGGCCCTCGTCATCATCTTCGGTTCTTATTTTGCAGTACCTAAAACGTTATCCGCGTCAGGAAATTGCGTTTTACATGTATTCCAAAGCGCATTCACAGGACTTGCCAAAGTGCCGAGAGAGCTGCACGTGACACGCGAGCACACGAGGTTGTCAGCATGAACGGGAGTCTGCGCCGCAAAAGTTATTGGGCGGAGCATGGAGGACTAGCTGCTCTCGGTCCTGTATCTCCATTGCTGCGCATGTTAGGACTGGGAAACCGCTACCCTTCGACAGCTGGAGGGTTGATACTCACGCACGCCCAAACTATGAGTGATCGTTCTATGTGCCTTTGAAGCAAAACCACCGTCACGTTTAGTTGGAGTACGCAGCCACGTCTACCTGATCTCAGCAATTTCGAGGATACTTGCTCACTTGAGTAATTTAGAGCAGTGTCAAGGGAAACAGTTATGCATTTTTGCATTTCTTCCTCACATTCTCGACTGTCAAGCAAAGTGTCGTCAGAACTATCTGAATATTCTGCGTGAAGTGGGGGAACACTTTAAGAAGAATGGATGGGGGTAAGTTTTGTTCGTACATGATGTTCGTGCTCGCTAAGTTAACTATTCCAGATGGGTCTGGGCTGAAGGAGGATCTCAGTTGGGTTTGGAAGAAGCTTTCGGTGTCGGAGGATTTGGTTATCCCGCCATGGTGGCTTTGAACTACAGAAAAATGAAGTTTGCTGTACTCAGGGTACTTCAAAACTATGAATCTTTTTTTTTCTTCATTTGTCGATACTGTTGCAGGGCTCCTTTGATAGAGATGGTATACGTGAGTTTTTGCGGGACCTGAGTTTTGGGAAAGGACAAACTGCGCCCATTAAGGTGCATTGCTGATCTATTCCTCGCAGAATTGACATGGATAGCTGATAATCTTTCTTCTGCAGGGAGCTTCGTTTCCCTCCGTCATCAGCATGGAGCCTTGGGACGGGAAGGACGCCGTGCCGCCCAGTGAGGAGGACGCAAATCTATCCGAAAATGAGCGCATCGAGTTATGATCACTCTTGTACCTCTGATCGATTGTTTTTTTAACCGGGTTAAAAGTTCCATTATGCATAGATCAGCTCACAGTTGCTGGAAGCTGCTGTTTATGCTGCTTTACAGACTTAGGCACTTGTTTTTTTTCGTTCCCTCGTTTTTTCTCGTGGTATAAACGACAGACCTTTCTTTTCTTTTTGTGAAGAATTTTGAGAAGAAGGCGAATACATCAAGTATAATAATCTTACAGAACAGTCTAGAAGCTCATTAAACAGGCACGTATCAGTGTGTGCGCGAGATTTCTTGAATTGTTAGCGCTGATAGAGCAACAACAACCAGTTTCAACCGCAAGACACCCTTCGGATCTTTTCCCACTTCGCTATGCTATAAGAGGACCGATCCTGCTAGATATCCGCTGAGTATGTCTGCGTGTTTGTCACGAAATTCATAGCGTCCCAGAAGCTGTGAGTAGTTGATTTCGAGGAGTGATATAGGGGCTGTGACGGGAACATCATTGGTGGGTGACAGGGAGTGTTATCAGCTGATAAGATCTGACAAGAGATCTGAAGAGAAGGATCTTCGGATCCGTAGAGCGAGCCACAGCAACAGTGAGACGTTAGTTCCAAGGTATGATATATAGTATGGGGCAAGAACATTACTGGTGGGTGACAAGAACTGCTAGCAGTTGATAAGATTTGATAAGGAGAATCAGAATGAGAAGGTCACCATATTCATAACGCGAGACAGCATCATCTAGGCGTTGACTTCAGCAGGTGATATAGAGAGGGAGGTGGGAACGTCGACCGTGGGTGACAGAAAGTGATAACAACTATTGGGGCTGGTAAGGAGCTTTGGCGTTGTAGTGGCATCGTGTGGACCCGCCCACAACGTGTGTGCCCCACATTCCTCAACGTTGACCCCAAGCAACTTTCCGGGGTCTGGAGTGTTCTGGAACGCCGTTCAACAGCTTTTTTTCAGTTGACCCCCGCCCACTTCGAGGGCTTATCCGCCCACAAAGAGTGTGTCCCACATTTCTCAATGCTGACCCCGAGCTGACAATGACCTACACACTCCGGGGTCTGGAGTGTTCTGGAACCGTTTAGCAGCATTTTTCTGAGGCTCCCCCGCTTCGAGGCAGGGTCGGCCCACAACGCGTGTGTCCCACATTTTTCAACGCTGACCCCGAGAAACTTTCCAGGGTCTGGAATGTTCTGGAACCGTTTAACAGCTTTTTTTTCAGTTCGCTCCGCCCCCTTCTACGCAGGATCGGCCCACAACGTGTGTGTCCCACATTTCACAACACCCCGAACAAACTTGTACCAACTTGTCCCGGGTCTGGAGCGTTCTGGAACGACGTTTAACAGCTTTTTTACAGTTGGCTCCGCCCACTTTGAGGCAGGATCCCCCTACAACGAGTGTGTCCCACATGTCTCAACGCTGACCCGGAACTAAGCTTTACCCGTATTTGCCGAGTGTTAAGGTGCTCTCTAAGCGCTCCATGAAGCTGTATGTTTAGCCCTGCCCTCCTCGGTGCACGCTCTACCCACTACGTATGTGTCCCACACTTCTCAATTGTTGACCCACCGCTGGAGTTAATCCGCTCTTTTCCGGGCCTCTGTGTTGCTGTGGGACCGGTGTACAGATTTTTCGTTTGCCCACCTCGGCACAGGCGCTGCTCACGTGTGCGTTCCATACTTCTCAACAGCTAACCCGTTGCTTACCTTGACCCAATTTTGACCTATCGCTAGCCCTACCCATTTTTCCCCCAGGCTCTCTGGGGTGCTCGCTGACCTTTCTACGAAGCTTCCCTTTTCCACAAGAAAAATCAACTATCAAAATAAATTTGTCTTCCAAATACGACCCCCCCCCTTCCCAGAGCAAAAGTACGACCCCCCATGGGTTTGACACAACGATGCTGTATTCTGAGGGTACTGCTGAGTCATCTCACGCATGATATTCAAGGTATGCGGCAGCCGATCGTGGCACTTCTCGGCATCTGGATCCTACCGCCGTCCAGCTCGTCCGTTCGACTCCTCGCCCCCAGATGATCTCCTCCACGACTGTCGCCTCATAGGTCCAACTCACTTCCGATACTGCACGACCGAATCGATCTCATACATTCTGCTAATAAATCAGTCTACTCGTATTCTTGTTATTCAACAGCAGCACGCGAGGTCATAAACCCGCAGATATGACCATATCGATCTAGCGTTTCCAGCGTCACCAGCGTACGCTAGCGCAATGCTAAGTATTCTAGCGTTACGCCAGCGTACGCTGGCGTACCAAGGGCAGGGAGAGTATACACTGCGTCCCAAAAGTATAGTTCCACCCATAAGTTTCACAGTATCCCGCCTTACACGACGTTTTTGAGAAAGCGTTGACATAGAAAGTACGGCAACTACCAGTGCCAATTTGCATGCCAACATCGAGAACTAACTTTCCAGAGCAACTTCAATTTTCTTTATTTTTTGTAAAATTCTTTTTTTTGAGCACGGACGTCCCATAAAGTGATAGTTCCACTGAACAAATCCTACTATATATAATCGCTAAGTTTGTCTGTTGTGTGTTTGTGTGGTGTTGTGTGTGTGTTGTGGTTGTGTGTGGTGTGTGTTGTGTGTGTGTGTGCGTGTGTGTGTGTAGTGTTGTGTGGTGTGTGTGTGTGTGTGTGGTGTGTGTGTGTGTGTGTGTGTGTGTGTAATGTCTGTGTGTGTTTGACCGGAAATCTCTCTCAATAGTACGGAGAAAGCAATTCTGCGTCCGATTCATATTCTGACTGCTATAATTCGGAGCTACGATTGGTCTACTTTTCGTGCGATCGAAGCGACTATTGCTGTTGGCTTAATTTGGTTTATTCCTACGCTGGTTCGTAAACAGCTATAAATCGGTGAGACTCCTGTGGCGGGAGTCGATGCTAATACTCTCAGAAAGCCACTGGAAAAGGTGTATTATTTCATCATTTGCACTGGTTTCGGCTAGTTACTCACAGTTTGCCTTGTTCAACGGTCATTTGATTAGGAAAATGATCATTGATTTTCTCGAAAGTACCTACGATGAACACGCCACTTCGATCTACCTCTCTCCAGCAACGAAGCGAAGACATATGGATGTTAGCTCCCCCGAATTGAGGGAGGACTGGTCCAAATTGGTGGCGCAGTGTGCGGGGACTGAGGTTCCTGCATATGTCAGGCTCATCCTCAATATTCTACTAGAGACAAAAGACCAGCTGGACAGTATGAGAAAATGGATCTCGAACGTCACAGAAAAAACGAGAAACTGAGAACAGAAAATGAAAAGCTAAGGAACATCATTGAACGGTATGACTCTCAAGAACCTGTAGCTCTTAGAAATGAGGTAACAAACCGCATGTAAGCGACTTTGAAGCAGATTTTGAAAAGAAAAGATCGGTTGTTGTCATAGGATTACCTGAGTCCGTTCCTCTTCTTCTATTGATCGAGCCATAATGATTTTCAATTGTCAACTCTATTCTGAACCACCTAGATATTGAATGTGTTCCTAACGCAGTCTATCGAATGGCAGACGCGATGAATGGACGCCCAGACTTGTTAAAGTTGTTTTGCCTTCATCCAGATTCCCAGCAAGTAGCTCTTAAACGTGCTCCCCGTTTACGCACTTTCTCGTGAAAAGGCGTTTTTCTACGCCCATCCTCTATCTAAGGATGAGAGAGTGCGATTGCGTGAAGGCCGTTTAGCGAAAAAATCAGAAAAATAGGTCTGTTGCTGTTAATGATTGTCATCAAATAGGTAACTCCGCCGTTTTCACAAAACAACTCCTTCGAATGTTCGTTCCACAAATTCTGTCATTTTGCTCACAAAACGTTTCTTTAATGCTCATTCTGATATTGCTTGTCGAAAAACATTTGAGTTATCCGCGGACACCTCCGTACAAGGTCAATTGTGCTTTATCAAACATCAGGTCCTTGGTAAAAAATGCAGTCTCTTCTAGAAACATTCCATGCGAAGGGGAAAACTCCGATCTCATTATATTATGTGAAACAGTGGCTAAATTCGAAAATTGATATTTCCCCGTTACTTGGGTAGTGGCAGCACAGTATGAAATTTCAGAACTGACAGGCTGAACACAGAGAGGAGCGGAGTAGCCCTTTTGCTGAAACACCCCCATTCTGGTAGTATAGTGTTTGGGAATCGGTAAAGGACGCATACGAAATACTGGCGTGCGATATTTACTTCTACTCCATGGAACTTAGGATCATTAGCGTGTATAGAGCGCCGTCGTGTTCTTCCACAAAAAGTGAGCAACTTATCAAGCGCTCTCAGTGATTTTGTCTTCTTGTGAACAAGTGTGCATAGTAGCTGGTGATTTCAACCTTCCTCATGTTTTAGCTCTCCTGCAGTGCTAAATGATTCCTGTAGTACAAAATTTAGGCAACATGTTTACGTCACACGGTTTTGTCCAAACCGTGGATTTCCCTACAAGATACAGTTCGCTGTTGGACTTGCTACTTTGTAATGACTTCTCATTAATCCACTCAATAGCTTCCTCTCCTCCGCTAGGTACCAGTGATCACAGATGTTGTTAAGTTTAGCCTTAAAGAAAGTTTTAGGAGCTAACAGGCATAAGTATGTAGAGATTACAGAAACGGAAAGTTTGAAGCTATGAGAGCATACCTAGCAGGTGTAGACTGGTTCGGATCCTTCAACATGTAATGGGAGTTAATGAAAAGTTATGAAATGTTCATAGCAATCTTACAGCACGCCATCAATATGTACATTCCTTACAAGATGGTAGTGGTAAATAATTTCATAACCTACCTCATTATTTAGTTTTATGGGAAAGACCAGAGAGCGGTATTGGGAGAAAGCAGTCTCTTCTCAGTCATCAGTAGAATGGAAAAGGTTCCAGAACTTTAGCAAAAAGTGGGTGAAAAAACTAGGTAAGTACTATGCGTATATTGAAAAGAAAAGATTAGACAAAGGAGGTTTGAAAGCTCTATACGCCTTGCTTAGGATTAGGCTCACAGACAAACATAGAATAGGCACAC